GTAGGCCTGGCAGAAAGGGAATTCTCTCTGAACAGATGGAGCAAGGGAGACACCAAGGCTGTTAATGCATAAATGTAGGATTGTGATTCCATAAATGTGCAGCAAACCTTAAAGTGAACTTGGCCAGGTTAAAATGTAACATCAAGGCAATTTGATATCAAAGTATTTGTGAAATAGGTTGTTTGTTTCCTGGTTCTGAGCAAAAGGAGTCTGACTAAGGACTCATACTGATTTAAAATTACAAAAAAAAAAATCTGCTTTCTCAATGTACTGGTAAGTATTTATTAGAAATAAAAGTTTTAAAAGTATTTTTAAAAATCTTTCCAGTAATGCTAAGACCACAATTAGCATGCAACATGTTTTTGGCCACAATAATTTACAATAGGCTGAACAGACAAGATTGAGTTAACTTAAAATTTGAGGAGGAAAGAATCAGACAAGTCAGTGTCTGACTTGAAGCAATATGCTCCTCTAATGCTGGTTCTTCTAACATAAATTGATTATAAATCACTTTAAATTCTGGACTTAAAAGCACATACAGAAAGCTTCAGCTCTGTGAGTGTTTTTGAGAATCTCTAATGTGATCAACAAAAGCCCTAAGGCATTCTAAAGAAGCCAGAAAAGGTGATGTTTTTTGCTGAGTCTGAGCTGTGACAGAAAACTGTTTGGGGCAATGTTGACTTGCTTGCAAATAACATTTTTGTGACAAGTGTGTTCTGGCAAGAAGTTACACTGAGGGTCAGGGTTTCCAAAATAGTACATCAGGTTCTGTTAGCTTCCTCTGTTTTCATTTCACTGCAGCTTTATGAAAGTTTGAAATGAAATTTTCCATTCTGGAAGTAGGAATTTTACTGGAGACAGACTGCTCCAGAGCAGAAGGGAGAGCACTCGGGGTGGAGTGGCATTGTAACAGGCTCTCTCTGTATTTCACTGCATGACTTAGTGGGAAGGAATTTGGAAAGGGTCGTTCTGGGACACAGTGCAGCACTCAGCCGGCAGAGGGCTTGGATCTTGAAGTGCCAGAGTGGGAAAAGAGGGAAAACAGAGAAGCACCTGAGTGCAGGGGTAATGATGCACGAGCTTGAACAGAAAGCAGGCTGTTGGTCAGCTTGGGAAGGGAGTGACAGGAAACCCTGTCACCCTTAATGGTTTTGGATTTGGATTAATGGATTTGGATTGCTTCTCCAAGCATATAATAAAAGCTGAGATGGAGGAAGAGGCAGTCTTCTTTTAGTCTAGGTTGATCTAGGAATTGTTACAGTAAAATAGAATCTCTTGTGCCACACTCTGCCTACAAGAGCAGAGATATCCTTTCATCTCCTAAAAGGTGAAGTGGAAAGATCAAAGAGTTCAATATCCGGAGCTCAGCACTGCTGCCAGCTGAGCTCTTCCTGCTGAAACTGTTCACAGCATTTGTTTTTGTGTTGTGATTTGACAGATCTCTGGGTTTCTGATCAAAGACATTTTTAAGGACAAATACAGTCTTGTAGCTCTTCCAATGAAAAGTTGGTTGTGTTTTGTTTTGTGTTCTTAATTTAAGAACTTGTAGTTCAGCTCCACCTTGTCGGCCTCTTCCTAGACATTCTGGGCACTCTGCTGCAGCAGCTGGGCTAGTGTGATACTGCAGCACACCCTGGGAAGAGGATTTCCAGCCTACAGGAAAGATTAAGAGCAGCTAACAGAAAAAAACATGTCCTTGGAACTGGTAAAAGAAGTACTTTCACAAAATTTGTTTCATTTCCAGCTGCACTCACTGCTCCAAATGGTACCAGATTAGCAGGCCTTTATTTCATGTTCAGGAGAAAATGGCTCTCACAGGACAGATCCATTTACTTGGTAACAAAGAATGATGGTGAAATGATTTATCAGGGAAAACAGGTAGAGAAAATCAGGAATTATCTCATTAGAGAAGGCGAGATACTGTTTTTGCAAATTTATTTTTTTTTTGTGTAGTAGAGGAGAATACAAGAATTATTTGGAATTGGCATCTTGCTGTTGAAGGTAGGACAGCACAAATAGTCTGACAGTAACAGCATGTTTGTTTCAGGTTGCAGTTGATGTTCCTTTGAGAGGAAATAGCTTTTCTTCTGGTATTGGAACACAAATACACAGGCCTGCCTGGCTGGAATCACTTTTCAAATGATGCTCTCTAACTTGGTGTTTGCTTCCCTCAGGGAAAAAGGAAACAGGACCTCTCCTTGCTCAGCTCACAAGACTGCACAAATGCTATGGAATGCACTTGTTTCAGTTTTCATTTGTGAAAACTGGGGCACAGGAAACTCCAGTATTCAAAATGGGAAAAGAAAATCCTGTCTCTGGATTTTAATCTGTATTCACTGTGTTGAAGATACAGCTAGAAATTTGGAGTCTTTTGCTTAACTGGGGCACAGAACAGTTACCTTGGGACAAATTATTTTCATTTCAGTCACTTAATACTCCCCTAGTGTGTCACCTACAAACTGTCAGTAACTTTGTCATCCCTCCCTCTGCCTTATCCTTGGTTTCTTTAAAAATACAGAGCCCTGTCTTATTCTGGCAGGACCTTGTTTATTTGAGCTGTGAGGCAGCTCTTAAAACCCTTAAATAGGCCACCTTGCTCTTGCATTTTAACTTGTTAAAGTGCATGGTACAGAACCACTAGTGCAAACAGCTGCAAAACTCCATTTCCCCCCAAATTCTTAAGGGGAAAAAAAAAGCTGATTGCAAAATCAAGCTTTTCTAAAACAGGCCTGATTACAAGCCAGCTGGTCCTTGCTCATAAGAACAGCTGAACTGAATCAGAGTAAGTATCCACATATTGCAGCATCTTTCTCCAGCTGTGGTCAAAATAAGTTACTAAACATGAGTAAATTGAGCAGCAAAGTGTTATTTAAATATTCTGACAGGAGTTTTTTTTATGTTTAACAGCCACCAGTTAAACTCTTTGTTGTTCAGTTACCTTCTGAATCTGTTATGCTCAAAGGGAATGATGCTTCACACACACTGTGAAGAATTGCCACCTCTTACTTGTTTTGGGCTGATTTGCTGATAGTCATTTGATTCTACTGGTTTTTACAGTGGAGGAAATAATAACTGGTCTATTTCCAGGCACACTTTGCAAGCTGCTCCAGGTTTGATAAACATCTGACACAGCTCCTTGTACTGGTGTCAGGTCAAGGAAAATCTTATACTACTTAATTGCCATCTGTATAAAGTACTCCTCTAATCAGTCTTCTGTAAGTCTTTTTTAAGATTCAGAGGAAGGCAAGGACCAGCACTTCTTGTGTAGGACTGCATGCAAAAACTTCTTGAAGTAGGTTTGTATCTGACAGTCTTTGGCTTCTCAATCAGTTTTCTTTTGAACAATGTGAGAGAGCTTGGAATTACAATAGGTGGAGAACTTGAGCAGCGATGATCAGCAAAGAGTTTTGGATTTTTACCTGTTGTTCATTACCTGTGTTGTCCTGTTTTCCCTCCAAAACGTGGACATAACACTTTACTTTTTTCACCCAGCCCCTTTGGAAATTTTCATGAGGCTTGACTCTACCAGAATGGATGAACTCCACAATAAAAAGCTGAAGTCACGGGACAATGTGTTGAGATACAAAGACAAAATGCCAAGCTAAGGTGTTTTCATTTTACTGGGCTCAGATAATGTCACTGCTGACTAGGAATGATGTATGTGTGGGTTTGGTGCAAGAGCACTGCTGCACAGCTGATAGAAACTGAAAATTTATTTGGGATACTCTAAACCTTTCCACGCAGCTTCTGGCAGAGCTATAAACCTTTTCTAAGCTATAAACCTTTCCTGGCAGCTCCAGGCTCAGGGCTGTGCTTGCTGTGAGGCAGCTTCTCTCTTCTAGAAAGGCATATTGTAAATAGGAATGTGGCTCTGCTGCAAAACAGGGGAGTTTTATTTCCCAGCAACTGACACCACCCAAATTCTTCTCCTTTTACCTTTGCTAAAGTCTCTGCAGCTGAAAAAGATCTATTGTCTCTGAAACAAATGCACAATCTCTGGCTTCTAACTTGTTTTGAATTTTTTACTATTATATGCTACTGTGATCATCTAGTCTGACTTCCTGCCTAGCACAGTCTATAAACATCCTGTAAATAGCTTCAAGTCTGATAGCTGTGATTAAATTGGAATGTGGTTAGAAAATTCCTATGAAGTAGAGAATATTTCAAGACAGGCTGTATGCTACAGAGTTCACTCTCTAATTGCATCTGGGATGATATCTTGCAACTGGCCTTGTAAATGCAGCATGTTCAGGAGGAGAGAAAGAGAGAATGCCCATTACAGGCACCTTCTGTCCATATCACTGCAGTATAACTGCCCAGTGTCAATTCCTGGTAGATTTTTCAGACCTCTTTCTTTAGAGGAGTTGCTGTGGGAAATCCACTTTGATGGGAATTTGCTCTCTTCTTTCTAGGATACCCCTTATTCAACTATCTTGGAAAAGTCTGAAGTAGCTCAAAGATAGGTCATCATTTCCTTTATTAACTACAAAGAAAATCAGTTAGAAAAGGATATCCATAAAGTGTGTATCTTAGTCCTGAACCTTAATTACCCATTGTCCTCTCTGCATGCAGTGCTGAGCCACATTGTTCTTATCCTGATCTGCAAGAGCCTAAAACAAGTACAGGAGTTTTGAGTCAATTGTTAAAGAGCAAGTATTAATTAACAGACACCTCATTAAAACACCAGCATGGGCTGCAGCAGCACTGACGTTTTATTTTTTTTTAACCAGAGACAACAGCATCCAGAAGACATCCTTTGAGTCAAAACACAAGCAAATAGTACCTAGGGAGCAGTACAGGAGAGTGAAAATCTGCTGTTGGCTTCTGTGAAGCTGCCCAGCTCTTCTGCTTGCTAAATATGACAGTTGCCAAACAAAATAATTCCTGTGTGTCTCCTTTATCAGACTTTGGATTTTCTAGGAGATTTTCAGTCTCAACTGCAGCCATTCTACTGATAAAAGCAGTATTTATATACTCTTGCAGATAGTATAAACCAAACATACAAATCTCCTAGTAGTTTATTAGTTTTTAGCAGTTCATAAATAGGAAACTTCATTAAGAAAAGAGCTCCTGAATCATAATTCAGCAGTGTCCTCTAAAGAGCTTTCAGTCTGTTACACTGAAATTGAATTCAGCATCTCAAGCAGCATGTCATTGAGATCTTCTGGTGTGAAATGGATTGTTTTGTATTGATAATTAAAAGATAGTAGGTGTATTAACCTTTTATCCAAAAGTATAAGTAATCAGAGAATTTGAATTTTCTCTAAACTTAGTCAGGATTTATAGTTATGACAAAGAATGCTTTTCCCTAATCCCAATCTATGGCTTTATTAAGCTTCATTATCATTACTAAATTAAGAGAGAATATATGTTTTGCTGCAACTGAAAATTGTGTTACAAGAGCAGATAAAGGACTGATACAATTGGTTGATATAAAGGAAGCAAATGTATCCATGTTCAAAGATGACTCTTCAGAATGTCTGAGTTAGCTTCTCCCATTTTTTAATATATAGTCTCCTTCTCTCTATGAATTAAAAAAGTATTGCAAATTGCTTGAAATAACAATAACTGGTCTGGATCCCCCAGAGGATCTGAAGCTGATGCCCATGTCAGTCTTCTAAAAAAGGATAGTCCTTGTGATTTTTGCATCTAGAAAAAGAAAGCATGATTACAACATTTTAAGGATATAGTTTAGAGAAAAGGGTTTTTTTTTTTCCCCTGGTAAAAGAACTGAAACTGAACTACATTAAAAACACATGTCTGTTTAGTGTATCCAGAGCAGGGAAAGTGAATTCTCTGTAACATTTGCTTGTATCAGTGACCTCCTTTTCAAAGGATAATGTATCTTATGCTCAGCTGAAATTGCCAAAGTTCCCTGAGATATTAAACCTTTCTCTTGGAAACTCCCAAGCCCCCAGGATGCTGTTAGGCAAGTGGGTAACCTGGGAAAACTGAGTAAAGTGCAGATCTTGGCCAGTCTAACCATTCTGTTATCTAGATAACATTGGCAGGAGTACATAGGCACAGCTCTTCCCTTCAAAAAAACCTTACAACTCTCATTCTTAAAATGGAGTTTATTTACTCTGACTGTCCCTTATGTAAAGGAGCCAAAGAAAACCAAGGGGGGAAATAGCTGCTTATTTATTTTTGGAATTTCCAGCTGATTTTGATTTTCAGACAGCAGTTTGGTATGCATCCAGTACAGGACATCTTAGGAACATTGTGCCTGCAGAAATCCCAGTGTTCCCAACCTGGGCAGGATGGGCAATGCTCTAATAAACCCAAGGGTGAGATTCCAGCAGATGTGACCAGGTGCTGGCTGAGGCTCCCTCTCTTTTTATTTTTAAGGGGCTATCAAACTGTGTCTGTTAAGAGGATATCCAGTGGAAATCCAAGCTCTCCAGTGGAAATCCAGCCCTGCCAAAGCCTGCAGGAGGAGGAGGTACTCACTGGCTTAGTGCACAGATGCGATAGCGCTTCTTGAAACCAAGGAGGGTCTCCATCTCCTCTCCAGTCAGCTCAAAGTCAAACACCTGCAGGAAGGTCCCAGACAGCTGGATTACTCAGTTTGCAGTGAGACAAGGAAGTTTATTTGCAGAAAGAATGGCAAAAGCAGGCTGAAGCACTAGGAGGTGTGCAGGGGACACCTGTGCAGGGAGAGCAATAAATGAACAAATGTGTAAGGTTACAGTGCTGGTGGGCTCTGCCTGCAGCACAATTGTACCACAAGGTGGAAGAGTTTGGCTCTTACCTGATGTGTTCTAATGAAGATGTGGCTCCTTACTTTCAAAGTGACTTTTTGCATTCATAAAGAAGTGATAACCTATGTGGTATCTGACAAAGGTTTTGGTGATTCTAAGGTTGAGGGGTGTGGTTTATACCATTGGCAGAGTAGGGGTTTTTTCTTCTGTAGTTTAACACCATTAATGACTTTGTAAGGTGCCCTCTTACCTTAAAATTTTCTTCAATACGCTGTGGAGTGACAGATTTGGGAATTACACTCACATTTCTTTGGATTTGGAACCGGATAAGCACCTGCAGGAACACATAGGGAGTTTACAGATGAGAAGTGCTGCCTGTCTTCTGAAAGCTGAAAACCAAAGGTGTCTGCATGGTTACACAGAGCAGCATTACTGGTAACCAGAGAGGGCTCACAGAGGAGAAGCACTACCTAAACCCTTCCTAATCACTACTCATTAAATCCTTATCCATGTCTGAAGCTGAGATGACAACAAGGGAGTGCATTGAGCAAGAGTTCAGGATTGGCAGGGTGCAGTGTGGAGGGCAGCCAGTGTGCCAGTTAAAGCCCAAAGCCACTGGTAATCTTCTGTCCATCAGTAAAATTAAGGCAGAGAGAATATTTTCCTAAAGCATTAAACTGTGCACAAGACACAGCCTGAACTCCATGTTATTATTCCATAACACATCTGTAAGTAGTTGCTTCAGCACAAGTGGGAACAATACATGTCAGCAGGGAAAACAGCTCTGACCAGTATTAACCTGAGCTGGGGTTTTGTTGTGCTTGAGTGCAATTTCCTTAACTCGAGGATCATCAAGAAGGGAAATATGGTCAGGCTTGGACCTGTAAAAATTAAAAAAAACCATGCTTCAGTAGTTTAATAACCCACTGTCTTCTCCCTCAAGCCCTGTACCATAAGAATATTGTTTAAATTACTAAAAAGCATAATCTTGCACACTTTAACATCTTGTTACTTCAATTCCTGCCTTCATCCTTCCCTTTTATAACAAGTGAGCACATGAGAAGAGGCCTGTAGTTTCTAGTAAAAACAGGTCACTATAACACATTTATGTCCAGCCTGAGATCAGGCTGGGAATTTCTTTGATCCAGATCCCAAGAATTTCATCTTGTCCTTTACAAGCACAGCTGCTCTGGCAAAAGCCCTGTCCCAGGTCAGAGGAAGCCATGAAGATGGGAGTAAAAGAAAGATTTCTGCAACTTCCCCATTTACAAACTTAATCCCTTTGTCTCAGCAGGACTGCAAAGTTGCTATTTTCATCAGCATCTGCTGCTTTGTTTTTTTGTTTGGTTTGTTGTGGGTGGGTTTTTTTTTTAGTTCAGAAATTCTCCTACATGTTTAATAAGCTCACCAAAGTTCAGTTAAGAATTCTCTTCTCTGCTTTCATCAACCAATTGATAATTTTTCTTCAAAATGTGCAACTGTAGTGGATTGAATATCACAATAAGTGTGAGGTTTCTGTGCATGCAATTTTTAATGAATTAGTAAATCTTTTTCTAATTACATCATTAATTTTCCCTGAGGTTTCATCTACATCCTCAGACTGGTTTACTGCGTCAACTCCAATCTACATCTAAGAAAGAAATCTCACAAACCATTCTTACCCTGGCCAGTTGGGTGCCCCAAGGGGACAATATGCAGTGACAGAGATCCCTTTGGATTGGCAAAACTTAATCAGTTCTTCCTGAGGAAGATAGGGGTGGCTCTCAATCTCAAAAAAAACGAAGAAAAAATTAGCTTTCACCTCTCAAAAGCAGAACTTCGAAGTTTAGTATCACTGTGCCACATCAGCTTTGGAAAGGTGGGTTTTTTTGCAGGTGTGGGGTTTTTAAGGCACTTTTAAGAGATGTTCATCCAGTGAACAGCCCAGACAGGTGTGGTGTCAGTGCTGAGGAGCTGCAGGACAATTTACCTGATTGTTCACAGGTTTGTGTCTTAAGCCTGGTTTGCCCAGGAGCTGATTGATCTGTTTCTGGTTGAAGTTGGAGACTCCAATAGCCTTCACCATTCCCACATCCACGAGCTCTTCCATAGCCTAGAAACACCACAGAACCACGCTTCCTGTTAAGTTCTTTCATTTTTGTATGGAAAAAAAATGCCCACACAAAAACTTGAGTGGTAAAAATCCTCCTGGCTGGATTCCTCCTGTGCTGTGAGAACAGTACCTGAACAGTGGGGCCCTGGTCAGACTCAGATCTCACATTGTGTGTCACCATAAGACAAATAACAGCAACATTCACAGAACTCCTAAAATATTATTATTTCAGTAAAATATGACTATTTTGAAATACTATCCCCAGACCTTCACATAGATGAAAGAGATTCTTTTAGAGTAATTCCTCAGCTAACCAAATAATCATCCCATAATAAAATGCACCTTCTTTGGAACAGAGCAGCTCAACAAGGAGCTGTTACAAGACATCTGGAACAGGGTGGATTCTGGTGATCAACACTGATTAATTTCCCAAGAGAGATGTACCATTTAGCAGTTGGATTATAGGATAAGCAGCACTGTGTTCCCCCTCCATCACCTATTTTCTTTCACACTAATAAAGCAATACAGCAATAAAACAGCCAGTCAGCCCTAATTAGATTGTCACATCCAGCAGAAAAGAAATGGGAAAATAATCTGCTACCAGTCTTTAGAGCAGAAGATACCCTTGGTCCAAAGCAGAAGTAATTTTAAAGTTGCTGTCATAAGCAGCAGCCTGAAATGTTCACTTTCTTCCTTCAAATGAACAACAAAAATGTGCCTTATTCTTCATCTGACAGAAGGCAAAAAGCACCAGTGAATTCTTCTGACTCTGGTGAATTTTTTACCTGCTTTTGGCCTGGCTGTGCTGAGCACATGGCAGGAGTGGAAGGGAAAGGAAAGGAAAGGAAAGGAAGCCCAAAGTCTCAGCCAGCCAGGAATTTGAATTCACACCCAAGCCTGGCCTCCCACACAGCCCATGTGGACAACTTAGCAAAGGACTTTGGCCAAGTCCCACTATCCCCAGAAACAGAAATTTGGGTGCTGTGGTGCACTGGCACAGGCATGTTGGCTTTGCTGGGGTGTGATGGCTCAGGTGCAACAAGAGGCAAGCATGGCTACAACTAAAGCCACCAAAAAATGGCCAGAGTGGGGTAGGGAAGAGAGCAACAGCATTTGTTAGCTCAAGCCACTGCAGGGTACACACACAGCCAAAGATTTCCTCTTGTCATGCCAACCCAGCCAGTTTAGTAATTAGCAGATATAAAAATACCTAAATTTTGGCACAGTGACACAAAAAGGAGCCCAAGGACGCAGAGAAATCAGCAATCTCAAATACTTTATGTTAGAAATTCTCTCAGAACAATTCCCACAGTGGGAAGCTTAGAGTTTTCAGGCTGTTATTTCAAACTAGCAAGATATTTTTGGCTTGTAAATGAATGTACCTCCCACGTATCCAGAAAATCTGTATTGCTGGGAATGATCATGCCGTCTCCATCTGCAGGAAATAGTTCCTCTCCTGCCTATCAGTACAAAGGGAAAAGCAACATCAAGGTCAGCTGAATTATAAGGACTTCAAGAAATCATTTAGAAATTTGGGCAAGCGAGTGGAGCTGGAGACACTGAGCTGGATAATCCTGAATTATGTTTGTGGTGGGGTGAGACATGGCTGCAATGACCAGCCTGTATCAACAGAGAAATCTTCAAGAAAATCTGTCTCTTGAGACTCTGTCCTGCAGGCAGAGGAAGGGCAGGCACTTCTGTGTGCCTCAGGAGAAGGCCAGGGAAGTGACACGGTGGGGAAACCAGGATTTATTTAACCTGGGGGTAGAGAGAGAAGAGAAAAGTCTCTTTTGAACCAAGTAGTTCACATGTTTGATTCTTGATAAGGAAATGGCAGCCAAACCCCACACTCTAAGAGGAATGTGATCTGGATGGTAATTTGATCCATGAGTTGAAAATGCTGTGCAGGGAAAAATAAGGTGGCTTTTGTACTACAAGACCTAGTTTAAGCAGCCGTGACCTTTCCTTTCCTCCTGGACTCTCCCTGCAGAGGTTTATCCTTATGTCCTAATGAGATTTACCAACACTCTTCCTTGGAGATGACTAAAGAGATGTCTGGTCCCAAAGGCAAAAGATGGATCCCAGGACTTGAAGTTCAATACCTTGAATCCCATGGGACAGTGCATCAGGTAGAGATCCAAATAATCCAGCTGGAGGGCAGCAAGTGTTTTCTGGCACACCTCCTTCACCAGGGATCTCTCGTGGAAGGTGGACCACAGCTGTGGGGAAACACAAAGCCTGGGAGCTGCTCTCCTGCCCTCACAGTGGCAGAGCAGGGAAAACACAGGGCACAGAGGCAGCTCAGGGTGTGGCACATCTCATCTTGAGGAAGTGCCACTTGAGGCACCTCAATTTATTTGTGGTACTGCTAAGTAACTAAAATGAGAACGGGATACTCTGACATTCCATCAATTATTGCAACAATTAAAACAAAGAAAATAAGTGAACCTGGTGAAAATCGACCCGCCAGCTTCCAGCAGATAGAAGTTACTTTATTTTTCCTACCATTGTTGTTGGGGGAAAAAACACAACAAAGCATAACATGCAGGAGCTGACAGGCTGAGGCCGGCGGCGCAGCGGGGGCGACCACAAAAACAATAGCCCTGCTTCCTATCCCAGAGGCCACCAAGAGCACGGCCTCAGTTCCTGTCTCCATGGCTGACAATGGACATGGACTACAAAAAAATCCCCTCTCAACCCGAGCCTTTTGTTTCTCAGGGGGTGACCTATTCCTTCCCATCACCATCCACAAATTTGACAGAGAGGAGGTAATTCCCAGCTTCATCCCGTGGCTCTTTCCATGGCAGGACTTGGTCTCTCCTCCCTCTCCTCCTCTCTCTCTCTAGGAGAGACCAGGACTTGGTCTCTCCTCCCTCCTCCTCCACTCTCTCCACGTGAGAGCCCTATCCAAGGACACACCTTGCTGACAATGAAGAGCTCCTCTCTCCTCACCACGCCCTGCTCCATTTGGCGTCGCAGCGCGTCCCCGATGTCGCTCTCGTTCTGGTACATGTAGGCACAGTCCAAGTGGCGGTACCCAACGTCGATGGCAAACCTCACTGCGTCCCCTGCTGCCCCCTGCAGAGACTGAAACCGGGAGAAAAGCCAGATTTGCTAAAAGCAGATGAAGAGCTTTGCTGTTCTGCAAATCTGGCAGTCTAAAGCCCCCAAATAACGAGATCTCCCAGCTGTGGAGTTTCTTGTTTGTTTGTTTTGTTTTGTTTTTTTTTAAAATTTTTGCTGGAGTTAGGACTGAAGATATTGAGATAGTAGTTTCTGTTTAGATTTAGGTGTTTATTGTTTTTTATTTATGTTATAGTCTCACCACAGTGAGTTCTGTAGTCTTTTATTAGCAAGGCAGAAAAAGGCTATCTCTTGTTACAAGGTCTTTTAAGGCTAAACTATCCAATTAAATTATTTTCTTTTTTAACCTAATAACTGATTTCTCAAAGTCCCCACTGTGGACTTTTCTGTTAAAGAATATACTGAATTATAAATGGAAAAGGAGTCTGGAAATGAGACTCCTCGAAGTCTGCACTGTGAACTTTTCTGTTCAGTTACAAAACATCACCCAAACTTATGAAGAAGAAGGAAGAAGGTAAAGAAGAACAACCTGCCTCCACCCTAAAACCTCCATCTTGCTTCATATTTATTTCTATATTCTAAACCTCCAACCTCTAAGTTTTCCACCCTGTGATATCACACACTTCTAGCCAACTACACACCAGTAATCCCAGTGCTGTCAATCAGTTTTGGAAGCCTTCTCCACAGCCTCGGGTCAAATTCAGTGTTCTCTTGTGGGTCTGTGCATTTCAGCACAGAAAGTTTAAAATCCTCAGCATTTAGGGTTCCAACACCAGCCTGGATCTGGCTTTCATTAGTTTTGTGAGATCAAATGGCAAAGGGAGTCACTAATGAGGTGCCTGAGCTGATCCACCCTTTTCTAAGTATTGGAAGTTCACCTTGGGACACGAGGCTATCTTGAAATAAATTCTAATTTCCCCAAATTAAAAGCAACTTTAGTGTGACATCCTGGTGACAAGAGGAAACCAATCATCTCTGGAATGCGCCCTGGCCCTGCACAAAAACAACCCAGCTCTTGTTGACACAGGACAGGGAGGTGAGGGGACTCAAAACACTGCACACAGTGCCACCTCCTGGGTAAAATACACACTGGGTACTCGACAGCAAAATAAATCACTTCAGATTCTTGGCTTGGAGACACCAAATTCAGAAAATGGCACTCCAAACAGAAACATGATTCAAAACCATGACCACCTCCTACTTTTTTCTTTTTTTTTTTTAATTATATCACTTCTCCAAGTTTTTCCAGTCAAAGGGTGTTTAGTTGGCTCACCTAAATTAACAACAAAAACATAGAAAACACAGCAATTTTTTTTCTGCACACAACTAAAGAGCCAGTTGAAAGTTTTACAGGTTTTCTTTTTTTGCAGTCCCTTTCTCCATCCCATCCCTTGCTGGATGTGAGCCTCCCAGGGCAGCAGGAGGAAGCAGGCGTGGGCAAGCAGGCTGGCAGTGGCCAAATGCTGGAATTTTGGAGCCCCTCATCCCTGCTGCAGCCTGGGAAAGCTGCCATGCTGAGGTGGGGAGAGCAAAGGCAGCAACCTACCCTTGAGATTACATAAAACTCTGTCATGTGAGATGTTTTCCAGAGAAAATAATCCATTGTTTCATTTTCCAAGGTGCTCACTGAGCTTGGCTTCGAGTCAGAGCTGCTGGGTAAAGGGGAGGCTCTGTTAAAGCACCAGAACACTGAGGCTGCTGTGGGAACCTTGAAATCAAACAGCTTTAATGAAATTATCACCATGGGCTTGGGACTTGTATTTGCTGGGTTCCTGATGAAGGAAAGAATGATGGATCTGACTCCATGCTCTTTGAAGGCTAATTTATTATTTTATTATCTATATTATATTAAAGAATACTAAACTATACTAAAGAATACAGAAAGGATACTTACAGAAGGCTAAAAAGATAATAATGAAAACTTGTGACTCTCTCCAGTCCCAACACAGCTTGGCCCTGATTGGTCATTAAGTCAAAACAATTCACATGAAACCAATTAAAAAAAATCACCTGTTGGATAAACAATCTCCAAACACATTCCAAAGCAGCAAATTTGCACAGGAGAAACAAATGAGATAACATTGTTTTCATTTTTCTCTGAGGCTTCTCAGCTTCCCAGGAGAAGAATCCTGGGCAAGGGGATTTTTCCAGAAAATGTGACTGCCACACTTGGGCCTTGTTTTCATCACATAACAGGAGACATTATTTTGTGGTGGCAGGGATCGTGTGCCCAAAACGTTTCTTCTACTCAGTCCTAACCAGTTTCTATCAGCAATTTAAGTTCCTTCAGAGAGCTCCCCCATCACAGCATTGAGCCCTAAGAGGCACCCCCAAGGCACACTTTGGTTTTTAAAGCCTGCTTTAATTACTTTATGCTTCTTAGTTCCTTTGTCATCAGAAAAATAAAGACTGAAATGCTCAAAGAAACTCACCCATGTTTGTGCATGTAAAGTTAAATGCTGATTAGATCAACTTGCCCAAAAATATGACAAAAATTTAAGATTTTTTTTATGGTGACTGGAACAGTGTTTCACAGAGCTGGGAAGTTGTGATGTGACATATTTTGTTTCCAGTCTCAGATCCAGGGGAAAGTTCACTTTTTAAAATCTTTTTTTTAAGATCAGTTTCTTAAAATTTTCAGCTTATTTCCAGACTCCTTTTACATTTATAATTCAGTATATTCTTTAACCTATTCTCCTTACCATAAGTCCATTAGGTAACATTTACAGGGAAAGAACCACCCAAACTATATTCCTGCAAAGTGCTGCATACTCATCTGCTGCCAATAAAAATAAGTTAGCCTCAAGTCTCTAAGGAATTATTGTGAGTTCCCATTTCCAAATCCACTTATTGCCCATTAAATTCCTGTATCAACACACACTCATCACAGATGGCACCAACACGACATGCATGAGATATTACATATATTACATGGGATATATTACATATCCTACATGGGATATTAACAAACAGTGCTGAAAGGAAAAAAAAAAAAGAAAATAAAAAGTAAAATTAGCTGGGCAGAAGGTTTTAGTTTTGCAGCATGCATTTTTTTTCCCATAGCTAAGAAAAAAATCTTGTACCTGCTTGACTACCTCCACTGACTCCAAAGATTTCCTGAAGGCCGGAAATAAATCCCTGCATTACCCGAGATATTTCAAAAGGAAATACTGCACAGAGGATTTTATGCATTCTCCTGACCCAAAGAGGAGATTGCTGCAAAAATGCACAGTGATTCTCAGCAATCTGAGAGCTCCCAGCTGCAGCAGGTACCTGCCAGGTCCCCAGTCCCAGGATGGGCATCCTCCCACCAGTGGGCAGCTCCAGGAAAGTGGCCATGGGCAGTCAGGCAAGGAGAGGCTGTGGGCTCTTGCAAAACCTCTTAAATCAGCTTTGCCCCTCCCTCCTGCCTGCTGACTGGCTGCAGGCAAGGAAAATACGGGCAGGAGTGCTCTCATAAGAGGAGGCAGGGATTTTGGTTATCTCACCCTTTGAAGAACTTAAAAACTGATTGCAGGCTCCTCAAGGATTTATTGAGTGAGCTCAGCATGGCTGTTTTGCATTGGTGGAAGTTGCAGGGTTTTGTAAACCTCACAGTCCCTGCTTTTCTGCAAGAAAAGGGGGATTTGGGGAGTTGGCATATGCCCCACGACCACTTCTCATCTCACCTGTCCTGAACACAACACCAGAAGATGCCAGATAGCTGCATCTATTGTCTCAGGAGGAAGTATTAACCTGTCCACAGGAGAAATAATTTCTTTTAAAATTCCCAATATAGCTTCATCCCCACAGCACCAGGCACCTGCATTTTTACACTTTCTTTATATTTCTTTTATTCATATATATATATATATATATATTTGATCTCAAAGCTCCCCATAGCTTATGCTCTCAGCCACTTCATGATGAGTGATCACTCCATTCAGAACCCTTTTTAATTTTATTTCTGAAAGATCAGGTTTATTTCAAAAAGATCAGGTCTGTTGGCCAGAATTCTTCAATGAAAGCAGGGTTTAACCAGCAATTGTAGTGCCCAGAGCTGCTAGGTAGAGATTTCGTTCCCCTCCATGGATTTTCCCCTGATTTGTGAGAAAAGCGGATTATGTACAGGAGAGATCTGTGATGACCATGACTCTCTGGATCATTGTTTCTCTGTCCTGCAGAGATTTTGTAAATTACATATTGACATTTTAGAAATTAATATCTTTGTGAGACATTTATTAGATGTATTTACTTTTTTTCCTCTGGTTTTCTGTGCATTTCTTGAAGGTGAGGAATATCTGAATCTGAGGAAGAGCCCGTCAGGGATGGAGCAGAGGATGTGTAATTTGCTACTGCGTGGTAATCCTAAACCAAACAAAAAACGGAAACGAGGAGTTACCAGGATCCACAATAATCTCTCCAAACATCCTCTTGGCTTTATCTGGCTGTTCAAAACCCTTGCCATTGGTGCTGGGCTTCATTTGCACAGTGACTCAAACACAGGGCAGGCAATCCCAGCTCCTTTGCAGCAGATTTTTGGTAGAAAAGTGTTCCTGGCAGAAACGCCAGGAGCTGTTTTACATCAGCAGCCCCGGGGCACACCAGCACTGACCCCAGGCACTGGGCTGAAAGGGGCCTCCTGGGATGAAAATAGCTCCTTGGGCAGTTTATGCACCACAAGGCTGGGCTTTGCTGTGGACACAGGGTCAGCCAAGGTGGTTTTTTTGCAGGAGCAGCTCAGACAGTTTTTAAATTGGAGTTTCTCTACTGCAGTTTGCTCACCATCCCACTCTCCCATCTCTGTGTGGAAGCAGTCAAAGCTTTCACGGGACAGCAAACCTGAAAGCAAACTCACTGTGCCTCCAGCACAAGGGTGAAGTGACCAGGTTTAGCTGGTTTTCCCTGTGTCCTGAGGTGTAAACTATGGTTTGGGGGTATTCCATTGCCCTCTGTCAGAGGTGGGGCAGTTCTCTGCTGTTCATGGGGAAGTTTTCTTTATCTCTTCCACAAACCAATCCTCCCTCCAGGAGATATTTTCTGTTAATGGGCTCTCTGGCAGTGGTTTGTTTTCCTTTTTGTACTATTGCATTTCTATTTTTAATTTTCCTGGTCAATAACTGTTATTCCTATTCCCATATCTTTGCCTGACAGCCCCTTAGTTTCAAAAATTACAATAATTTAGAGGGAGGGGTTTTACATTTTCCATTTCAAACAAACCTGTCTTTTCAAACCAAGCCACCATGGCTCTTAGAGATAAATATTAGCACCAGCTCTTCTTTGAATACTTGACCTGCATTCAGTGTTTAGGAAGAATAGATCAAGAATAAAGCACAAGACTAATTTTAAGGGATATATCCCATAATATTTTATTATAAAAACCACTGATTACTTTTCATTGGAATTAAATGGGTTTTTTCACTGATTGAAAAATGCTTAAATCTATCTCTGCAATTTTTTCCTTGATGGGTGACATCCCTGGAAGGTTATGATGCATTTAAGGCATTTTTCATAAACATAAATTTTTAAATTTCAAGTTATAGCTAATCAGAAATGTCAGTCTCTTATCCCATTAACTTCTCAGTTCAGCTGAGAAAAATGCAGCTTTTTTCAGTTCCTTCACAGAGGAAAAGCAAACAGAAACTTTGTTTTCCTACTCACCCATTGCAAGATGCTTTAGAAAGGGTGCAATGCATTCCTGAAGGTGAACAGGCTGAAAATTCCTCATCCTGATGGCAAATAATACACTGGGATTTTTTTACCATGGAATAAATAATACAAATACAGAGCTGAACTGATTCATGGACCTTGCTAATACAGCAAAATAAATACCTGCTATACCATTCAAGAGTAATTTCACAGCTATGCTCTAAGATTTTTCAGTTTACCTTCAGAAAATGGACATTATTTGTGAACTTCACCATCATTACCAAAACAAAATTAGGTTATACGCAGATGGAAGTATATCTACATTAGTTTTATAGTTTTATATATTTTTTTATAATTTTAATATAGTTTCATAATTGCTCAATCCCACAAAAACAGCACCTTTGTAAAGACACTGTCATAGGGTGTATTAGGGTGAAGGTACTTCCAGATCCCAAACTGCTGCTCCAAGAGGATCAGCAAGAGTGTTTTAAAAGCCACACAACCAAAAATCCCAAATATTCAAGCACATCAAGGCATCTCACTTCCCTTATCACCACGTGTGGCCTGTATTGTGCAAAATCACTAACCAGCTTCAGAATCTCTGCTGCTCTGAATATTTTCCTCCACAGGAAAGAAAATGCATCTAAAAGCCTGATAAGCCTGTTGAAATAATAATCACCTGCAGAATTTTAAACAAACTCATCTTGGAAATCAGAACTGCTCCGGTAGCTCCTGATTTAAAAAACTTCTGGACACATCTCAGCCCTTGCAGTGATTCATTTTCAGGGAGGTTTTCAGGAGTGTGTGCCACAAGGGTTCTGATCCTTCCCCCAGTGGTTTCTGGGGTGATTTTTGGGGTCTCCTGCCCAGCTTGCCAGCATCAAACATGGTGCTAAAAGGACAGAGTAAATCTCAAGCTCTTTCTGGCTCTGTATGGCTCCCAGAGCTCTCCAGTCACAGCACACACCTCCCTGCAGCATCACACAGGCTTTCAGGCCAAACACTTCCCCTGGAATGGGATCCAGGCATCAGCACTAAGGAAAATGGTAAGGCAGCAGAGACAAGAACTGAATTCACCATCTTTTAAAGAGGAAATAAACATTAGAGTCACATAAATATAAAAAAAAAAAAAAAACATTAAAGAAAAGGTCTCTAGTTGCAACAGTTCCTTTCTCTAGCTGGGTGTCTGCTGCACTTTTTTCACTGAGGTTGCTGAGTGCAGAATGTCTTCCTTGTGAAACTTCAGTGCATGTCCTCACTGGCACAGAGGTGCTGAGCTCCAGGGACAGTGCACAGCTTTCAGAGACATTCTGATTCTCCTGGCCAGGGCTGCTGAGGCTGCTTTTTCATGTAAAACAACAGATAGGCTGTTTCTGTCCTGTGGAGGCAAAGAGAAAGCACATCACAAGGTATGTTTGAAGATCTAGGTTGCAGGTAACATCCCAGAATTGCTCCTGCTCAGCTTTCTGAGCTTCAGGTCAACTAAGCTGGTCCTCTCCAGAGTTCCCAAGATTTGCTGGCAGTGCTGTGGTTTATAGGAGAGATTATCTCCCTCCTGTGAGCTCGTTTTCTTACGATGCATCAAAACAAAAAGCATGGAGAGATCCTGACTGGCACATCTCCTGCAGCCCCACTGCACCCCAGGCACCATGTTCCCAAAGCAGTGTGTCTCCCCTCTCTTTGCTATCTCCATTCCAAAGTCCAGAGCAGCATTAGGAAAAAAATCAGGGACACATTTACATACCAGTAGAGGTTGGAATGTCCATATGTGCATTTAACATCATCCCATGATACCTAGAGAAGAAAAACACACTGGAGGAGGCTGGTAAAAACTCTTAAGAGATGGAAAAACTCTGATACCATCCCAGGAGCTCTCATAAGAGCAGTATAAGTGGCACTTCCAGGAACTAAACACCTTTCAGTAAATTGGTTTATTGCTTTTACTCTCAGAGGAAAAACAGTTCTGAATGTATACATTAAACATATGTAGGGTGCATCAAGTAGGATGTTCAGCAAATATCCTGAATATTCTGCAATATTCAGAATGCTTCTGCATTCTGCAATGCACAAAACTGCTGGTGTAATTCTCGCCTGAATGATGAGCAGGACTCCATGGTATCAGAAGGCTAATTAATTACTTTATCATAATATATTATTCTATACTGTATTACACTATATCTAAACTGAAACTGCACAAGCACTTAACAAAATCTTGTTACTGTTTGCTGACAGTCTGGAGACAGCCAAGGAAACAAAGCCCCATCACTTTGGGTAAACAACCTCCACACTGCATTCTACTTTGGCACAACACAGGAGCAGAAAATGAGACAAGCATTGTTTTGATCATTCTTTTCTCTGCTTCTCTCAGGTTCAGAGAATGTGAATCCCACCCAAAACAGAACCTGAGGCCTTGCTTGGTGCAGAAGTGAGAGTCACTCTGCCCTCAGCATAGAGCATCCTGTAGCAGAGGTGGACAAAGCTCTGCAGCCTCAGCTTCCCTTCCTGGTTTTCTGTAGCACCAGCCAGACTGGGTGAGAGCTGGAGGAGTGTCCAGGAGGGTAAAAAAGGAAACGTGGCTGGATCTGCTCACCTG